TTTTGGCTTGGTAGGAATTGCAGGTGGATGGATATGATCGGAAGCATCACGAAGGCGATTTTCCAGGGATTGATCCGTGTCTTGGGAAAACAATCATGAAGAATTCCAGATAATAGGTTGGATGGATTGGTTAATGTCTTGAGTTGTGCGGAGGATAGAAGTGCTTTGCGAGTGCCGTTGCGGCGATATGCTGAGAATGGATGGACCAGAAGAAGAGCGTTTTGCAGAGAAGAAATGAAGGCGATGAGAATAGACGTTTTGGTGCAGGATTGTTTGCATTCTTCATGGTTTGGCGTCATTGTTTGTCATGGAGAGAATTGGGACGACGTTTTTGTGTGGGGTGGATTTGCATGGACTTGCCGCATCATCACGATGCATACGAACAGGGGGGCTGTTAGATATACTCGTAGCATAGCATGATGGTTGAATATGGGGCATGAATATACGGAGATTGTTTTTGGTAGACTGCGGGAGAACATGAAGTTTCTACATGGTTACTTCGGAGATTCGATTGGTGATCGAAGTTGCGTGACGGATGGGTGGGTGTGGTTGTGCACTCCCCTCTGTTGGTGGGACTCCATTTCCACTCCTCCCCTCTAATGCAGGACTTTCTTATGTCGGCCCTCACTGGCCGAACTGCCTCTCCCCACAAATTTATGAGCTCCAGGCTGCCCGGTTTTCCGGATAGATGAAGGGAGAAACGAGGTGGAAGTTGAAGGTTCAAAAGGAAGTGGTTGAAGATTTGTTTAATACTTATTTGAAAGTTGCATCGAAATCGTACACCCAATTTGGATTACCCTAATTGGCCATTTATTTTTCAGCCGTGAAGGGGCTTGTGCCACGAAAGGCCCAACACCCCCAGATCCTCACGATCAAATACTGCTGCGGTTGTGTATGCGTTTGTCCACGATGTGTTCTCTGACAACTGGTTTCGACGGTGGTGGTGGATTTGCTGTCTTTCCTCTGTTTGTTTGTTTGTTTGTTTGTTTGTCCCATCATTGGACTCTGTCGTCGGCCCCTCCGGCCCCGATCCTCCACTTCTACCAGCTAGACGACCCAACCGGGGTCACATGGGAGGGGGGGGTTGGACCCCCTCCTGCGGTTCCTACCTGAGATGTTTTTATCGCGAGAAGGGTACAGCAATCCCTTCCCTCGCGACTTACGAAGTCGACCAAGTTTCCTAACAACGAGCTTTCTTTGCAGCGCGTCGCTTCCAACGGAGACCAGGATTTAATTAGCGAGAGGAAACTCACTCTGTCGGGACTCGAACCCATGACCTGGCCCTTAGCAGGCTGCGAGGCTACCCCCTAGACCACCGGGGCGACCGGTGTGTGTGGTTGCCGGATATATATATATATATATATTGCCTTCACTTCAAATCAGCGCTCACAGCACTGGTGCCGTTTACTCCAACCCGTGGTCACACAGAATAACCCCTCTCTACCCTCCCCGCCTGCGGTACGTTGCCTTCGATTTTGAATGCGAGAAGAGTTCAGCACTCTCTTCCCTCTGCGTACACACGAACTAGCGCTATCCACTAGGCCAGGAGCGGAAGCGAGATAAATACATACTCACTTTGCAAGAAAAGCTCGCCTATGCCGGGATTCGAACCCCTGACCTGACCTCTAGAAGGTTTTGGGGACACCAACTAGACCACCGGGGCGACCGGTATTATGGGAATTGAATGTAGGATAGTAGCAAAGAATGGTAGACCAGATCGAGTTCCGGTACAGGCCTTGCCGTCGTTACGACGACTTTTTGTCTTGCTCTTCGTTCGTTTTGGGTTTCGACCCGTTTGTAGTTATTGTAGGTTTGATGTTTTGACGCCGCTTGTTTCTCGTTGTGATCGCACGAGTCTATTCGTTTCTCCAACTTCATTTTGTGTGTTCCAACCGATTGTCCCTCGACGCATCGAGCAGAGGTATGGGAGGGTGAATTATGGTGTGTTGCATCGACCATATCATTTTTGAAAATCGGTAATGAATTGTGAAGCGTCCCGGGATGTTGCAAGTATCTCCGTTGTGCATGAGAACCTCCAGGGTGGGCTAATGTGATCGGGTTAGAATATAGGGAACAGCAGCGAACGGTAGATCGGGCTATTTCCCAGAGCAAAGTGCGGGAGATGTACCTCGTGAGCGAAGGTTAAAGCAGGGGACAGGACCTTTTATTAATATGATCTGGGCCTCCCGCTTTTGATTTTCCTACTCGTAACCGATGCACAGCAAGCACTGCCGTCGCAAAACGGTCATGGGCGTTGCAGGCTACACACTGCGTGATAACCCGTCTACACGTGGGGGCACTCACAAATCTGGTTGTTCTGCTATTGAGTTACCAATCAAGTACTCCTGCTGTGGGAACTTCTGATATCGGAAGTTTTGTAAACAACGCATCCAAAGGCAACGTACCACAGAAGGGGTGGGTAGGGGGCCTCAGGAGAGGAACCCTTCTGTGTGACCACGGGTTGGAGTAAACGGCACAAAACAATGCGACGAGCGCCGATTTGAAGTGAAGCAAACAGAAACTCCTCTGACTGTTTATCTTCAATCTGGGCGGCTACTTGCTGCTCCCGAGGTGCTACCCTTCAATCAAATGCCCAAGTATGCGAAATGACCAAGGGGTAACAGTAGTACCAGCAGCAGCAGCAGCAGCAGTGAAGGTGGCTTAACAGGTTCTGCACAAGGAAGACAGATGAATCGCTCTTGTCACTCACCGCGCAATTCTTTCTTCGTGTTGGGGAGCTAGGAGCCAAGGGTCCGAATCGACAGTTCCTTTGGTTGTTTACGGCTGTCTGAGTGGTTAGTGTCGGGGTGTGCGCAGGTGTGATGCTCTCAAATGTGGTCCGGATAGTGACAGAGGGGATCTTCACACCGAACCGCAGGCCCCTCGGACCTCGTGAATTCTGCGAAATGATGAACAAAAGCCAATTCTCAACGCTCGGAGGCGCCATAATAGGCCATTAGACTATACTGTAGCAAGAGTATTGTACATACTCCGTGCCATTCGGCACGCCTCTCTGTCGCTGATTGTCGCGTTGCTAGTTTTGAGTCAGTGCTCACCACAGCCCGTTCTTGCCGGGAGCTCCAATCCGTGGCCATACAACGCCCCGCCCCCCCCCTGAGCTCCCCTCCTGCTGCGGTACTTGCTTGCTTTCGACTGCTAACGCGAGAAGAGTGCAGCGCTCCATTCCCTCAAGTTGTACACTCGAATACACTCGAGCGGAAGCGAGAGAATGATTCACTCATTATTGATGCTGCTACAGTGAAGAGAGGTGAAGAAATGTTTCGCCGATGTGTACAACATTACTGTAGACAACTATTCCGATGCCATTCACCCCACTTGCCCGATTTGCCGTTATTCACATGCGCAGTGGTTTATTCCCGAATAGCCGCCTCCCACCAACCCCATTCTTGAAAGTGGTGATGGAGACCGGCTGATGTCATCGGACTGTCATTTCATATACAAACAAAACGATACCATTTGCAGTCAAATTGGAAAGTGCGTGCAGTAGTGAGCCATACTGTAACTCTTTGTGCTCGTCCGCTCCATCCCATGGCACATCGCAACGAAAAAACCGTTGACCTCGCAAGGTTCGACTGCCTGCCCAAACTGATGGATCCCCAGAAGAGGCCAGCCGCCTCCATGCCAGCCTCTCTGCCAGCCTAGTTTGCCTGCCAGCCTCCTGTCTTTGCGAACATCCCACAATAACACAGAAGCTGAATTACGCTGACCGCACAATTACGGTGGTACCACATGACAGAAGGTGTCGTACCGACAATAAACGAGCAAATCGAGGTCACTGCTGCGCAAATCACCGCGGAGCTTGATAGGGGGTCATCGAAGCGGGATTCAATCAGATATTCCCGCCGCAGTAAACACGACACCCCCACCAATTTCGAACACGACGTCAGACACAGCAGAGCAGCGCACACCTTCTTTTCCACACCCCCCACCCGAACGGATCGATGCCAACACGACGTTTGCATGTGATTACGCGTGCCTCAAAAATGCGTGGAGAAGTAGCTGGCTTGAGCAACGCTTCCTCGCCTTTACTGACCAGGTCCGGTTCCCGCCGCGGCCACAACAAACTTCCGCAGCAGGCGCTCGACTCACTCACAGTACCTGGGCTATTCCCGATGCTCGATGATGACATCCTGGCCTACCTCCCTTGCAGTGATCTCGGTGTCAGGTGAGTGGTTAACTCCGAAAGGGAGATTGCCTTGTTCGTGGTCCAACTGCAGTACAGTGGAGGCCACTGCGGCCGGAATGAAACTCGAGACAGCGCGTGCTCGCGATGGCCACGGAAGCGATTGCTGTTTGGATGCTGTTGTTAGCTGTCATCCTTGCCTAGTCTGGGAATGACTGTTTGGACACCATCTGGGCTTCTCCAAATGTTGGCCAACGTGCTCCTGCATGGTGTTGTGGGGAAATACCCATGACATATCTCGGTGTGGTACCCCCCTGTTTCTTCACGGGCCCTCCCTCCCGCTCCCACCCCAACGTCATATTTCATTTTTTAACATGTTATGCATAGCAACATGATCAGCAAGGCTTGGTTGGCGTCCAACGAGTACGAGTCACTTCGGCGCCCGTTTCTTTCCACGGTGGATCCCATCTCGACCTTAGGGTCAGCCAAGCTTTCGGTGCTCGCTGATCAATTCACCTGCAGCCAGGTATGCGAAAGCACTGTCTATGTACATCCCTGCAGCAAGGTGTTCAATGTTGAGGCGTTTCATTCATGGCGAAATAGAGTGAATATTGAGAGGCTTACATTCGCCGCCTTAGGTGGTAAGCAGGTGCTGAAAGCTGGAGGCAATGTTGCAAGGTTAGGTTCTGTAGGGTACCCACAGATCTATACCGGGGGTAATTACCCTCTGTTTTACCCTACAGAACAATTCTGTGAGTTCTGTGCCCGTAGCGCCACAATACCCTACACTTCTGTGAGTTCTGTGACGGTTGCACCACAGTACCCTACACTTCTGTGAGTTCTGTAGCACACACGGTACCCCACAGAGATTACCCTCTCGTTCTGTATACAATACCCTAACACTTCTGTGGGTTCTGTGACGGTCGTGCCACAATACCCTACACTTCTGTGAGTTCTGTAGCACATCCCGTACCCCACAGAGATTACCCTCCTGTTCTGTATGCCGGCGGCACAATTACCCGCGGTACGGGTAAACATTTGTGGAACTACCCTCCACATTTGTGATTACCCCGGGATGCTGACGTCAGTCCAACTTGAAGCGTACCCTCAAAAAACACCACACAACACACAGAGCAAGACCCTCCTTCAGCAGAGAAACAGAACACATCTGGTACATACAGCAGAACAAACACACCGTACGACACGCGGTATCGGGTTCAGCGGGAGCATGAGCGATGCAGACCTCGGCAAAGTTCACCGCAAAGTTCACCGGCGCGAGGGACGCTGACCTGAAGGCCGCTGAGGCCGCCTTCGACGTGGTGAACAACACCGCGAACGACATTGGCGTGTAGACTGACTGTCGGGGGG